GCCCCCCCCGGCCGGTGTACGGGAACTGGGCAGCCGGAGCTCCGGAGCCCAGGAAGCGGAGGGCCAGCACACGCACCGGGGCCCGCCCTGCCCCACCCCGCCCGCCCCGTCCCATGGGGAGCCTCACCCGTGCTCCTCCTTCACGCTCAGGTGACACATCTCTCCAAAATCGACGGCGAGATTGCCCAGACCACGCTGGACATCACGAACACCGGCTGCAGGCTGGACATGCACCAGAAGACGCTGGCCGAGCTGGACAAGGACGTGCGGAAGGTCAACGAGCTCATCACCAACAGCGAGAACGAGATCTCCCGGCGCACCATCCTGATCGAGAGGAAGCAGGGCCTCATCAACTTCCTCAACAAGCAGCTGGAGCAGATGGTGTCCGAGCTGGGGGTGAGCAGGCGGGGCAGCGCCGGGCGGCCTTGTGCCCACAGGAGCACGGTCCCTTCCAGAAGTTCCTTTAAAAAACACGTGGGCACATGTGTTTTCTTTAATCAGCCAGAGAGAGAGATGGGCAGAGAGAGAGCGCGCACCCCCATGAGACAGCCGTGTCACAATCCCTTGTCCTCCGTCTCTCCCCGCTTCCAGGACATTGGGCACGTGCATACACATGCCTGGCACGGCGCCAGGCCCAGGACTTGAGCCTTGGTGTTCCAGAACTTCTTACATAGGTTTAGAAATTAATTCACAGGGGAACCAGCAGTTAGCGTAATGGCTATGTCACTGGACTCCCACGTAGTTGACCGTGGTTCGCGTCCCGGACCCAGTGGCTTAAAACTCACGCCGGGCGCGTGTGCGTGTGTGCCCAAGATCCCCAGAGGAGAATGGAGGAGAAGGGATGGCGGCGTGGCCATCCCCCCCTGGGGGGTGATTTCTCCCTCTCTGTCTCTAATGTCTCTCTCTGTCTGGCTGGAGAGCACACACGCCCTATAGCGAAAATCTCTCCAAAAAAAAAAAATTAATTCACAGAAAATACAGCCATTCCTCCCTGCCCTGCCCATGAGCAGAATGGCACATGAGCGGGCCTCGAGGCTGGGGTTCGGACAGCTCTTTCCCGCAGAGGGCCACGCAGTCAAGGCCTGAGGCTCAGCGGGCCAGATGGCCTCCCACAACTGCTCGCAGAAGGCCCCAGGGTACGGCGCATGCAGCCGTGTCCAGTAGACGTGTTTGTGACCATCGATGCTCAGCGTCTCCTGGCTGGAACGCGGCCCCCTCCATCCCTCACGTGCCCACGGTTGCAGACAGATGGCAGCCGGGCTGACTGGCTGATGCCACTCTAAGCTCAGTGGTCTAAGAGCACACTGTCCAGGGACCTCTGCCCTGAGGACCCACCACGGGCCTCGCGTCTCGGCACAGGGCAGCAGGGTAGGTGGGTTCCTGTTCTCAGCAAGGCCCCACACACAGGAGAGCCCATTTCTGGTTTAAAAGCCACAAACCTGAAGAGATCCCAAGGGAATAGAGTCCCTGACTCCTGATGTTCTGCTGTTAAAAGACAGTTTTTGGCTGGGGTCTGCAGGTGGCATGGTAGTTAAGGTGCTGGACTCCCACATGGCAGACCACGGTTCAAGTCCTGGACCTGGCGGTTTGAAAATCACACCGGGGGCAAGTGCATGCCCAAAATCCCGAGAGATAAGGGATTATGGGATTGTGCGTCGCCATTGTCCCTGGGGGTGGTTCCTCACTTTTGCTCTCACTGTCTCTCTGGTGTGTGCAAGAACCCTGTGACAAAACCTAGCCTCCCGCAACCCCAAAAAACCAACTTCAAGCCAGCCCCATGGCATAGTGTTTAAAGTAGCCAGATCCCACACGGCCAACCACGGTTCAAGTCCCAGCCATAGCAGCTGTAGAGAAATACACTGGGCACTTGTGTATGTGTGCGCACCCTAAGTCCCCCAGGATGGATGTAAAGGGTTAAGAGCGGCCACGCCCATGGTGGAGGGGTGCTTTCTGCTCTCCCTCTCTCTGGTAAGTGCACACGTCCTCTGACAATGACGTTCTTTTGGCCTGGGGCCTCAAGGCCAGCGTGTGTGATGACTGGTCCTCGGCCCTTCCGAGAGCTGCCCCGAGCCCTCCCGTGAGTGCCGCAGCGGGAGCTCAGCTCCGTGAGCAGGCGGGCTCACCTGGGTTGTGACGGGCCTCCCTCTAGGGCGAGGAAGTAGGGCCCCTGGAGCTGGAAATCAAACGGCTGAGCAAACTGAGCGACGAGCACAGCGGCGACTTGGTGCGGGCCCAGGGCACCTGGCTGCGCCTGCAGCAGGAGATGGTCAAGGTGACGCAGGAGCGTGAAGAGCAGCTGGCTTCCCTCGACATGTCCAGGAAGGAGATCCACATCTTGGAGCAGAAGAAGCTGCGGATAGAGAGTGAGTCCCCGGGCTCGGCCTCACGGCCCCGCGCCAGGACCCAGAGCCTGGCAGAGGGCGGCACGCCTCCAGGCAGGCTTCCCCTGAGCAGGGCGCATCACCTAACTTCCACGCAGGCTGAGTCGCGAATGGCCAGCTCCGTAGCAGAGCAGCAAGTGTTGTGCATAGATAGCCGGACCCCATGTGGCCGATGATGGTTCAAATCCCAGTCCGGAGGTTTGGAAAACACTCCGGGTCCATGTGCATGCCCCAGATCCTAGTGGCTGGATAAACTGAGGAAGGAGGGCTGCGGCCACACTCCATTGCGGGGGGGGGGTGCTCTCTGCATCTTTCTAACGAGCACATGCACCAGCGGGAATTACAAATGGAAAGGGGAAAAGGCCAAGGGCAGAACTCTCGCATCGCACACTCCGTTGCCCACTGCCCAGGGCGCAGGCACCGCTGTGAGTCCACAGGCTTCAGGGCCCTCCTGGAGAGGGGAGCGTAGACCCTCACCTGCCAAAGCCAGGGACACTCAGCTGAAAACCCTGCTCTGTAGCAAACTCGGGGTCCAGAGGCCCTCGGCACCCTCCAGCTGAACTCAGAACCCATTCCACTGGGCCTCACCCCTGCTTCCCTCAGATGGTACCTAGGCCCAGGGTCTGCTGAAGTGCCGTGCAGGGGTGGCACGGGGGAGGCGAGCACCTTCCTGGGCCACCACCCACCCACATAGACCCCTGCCAAGACACCCCGTTCCTCCCAGTCCCGGGCCGGGGTCCACACAGCTCAGGCCTGCCACGAGGCCTCGCGGCAAGTGCTGGCCAGGCTCTCTCTGCCTGGGCAATGACCAGTCCCCCAGGTCCTGCACACCCTCGCCCTCCTCGGCTCGCCCGAGCCTGTCCATGGGAAGCAGAGGGAAACAAAAGGGCCGTGGGCTGTCGGGAAGACCTGGGTGTCCTCAGGCAGGAGCCGCTGGAGCGCAGCTCTGAGGGGACAAGAGCAGCGGGGAGGGCAGGGAGGAGGGGCGAGTACGGGAGGGCGGGACGCGGGCCGATGGGGAGGACCAGCCATGAGCAGACACCCAGGACACCCGCGGATTTCTGCCCTCTGCCCCAGCATGGCTGGTGCAGGCCGGAGGTGCAGGGTCAGTGCTGACCAACTCCACCATGGGCGCTCAGGGAAGGGAGCTGGCCCGCCCACACCTACTGGCTGTCCCCGTGTGGGATCTTTCCTGTTCCCAGGAAGGCCCAGGCTTTGGGGACTCAGCAGCCAAGCAGAGACCCCCAGGCCTCTCCTCTGCCTGGCAGGAATATGGTTGGGGTCGGGGCACCATGGATGGTGTAGGGAGCTGAAGGAGAAGCACCCGTCCTCTTTGGGGAGGGGGACCTCGCCCTCCTGGGGGCTTTCTCCCCATGCCAGCGTCTGCTCGGCCCTAGACAAGATCGACCAGGAGAAGAAGGAGCAGAAGGAGATCGACCGGCACATGAAGGACCTGGACAACGCCCTGAAGAAGCTCAACGTGCTGCTGAACAGGAACCGCTGCAGCTCGGAGGAGCTACAGCAGGGCAACCTGGTGACCGAGAACGAGTTCGTGCGCGCTCTCAAGGTCAGCCCCTGCGCCGCCCCTCGGCCCCCAGATGCAGGGTGGGCGAGTCTGCGGCTGGGGGGCCCAGACCTCACTCCCATCTTCCCCGGGGGGGTGTTGGGGACGATTAGATACCCAGCCGGGCCGCCACCTGCCATGGGACTGGGAGGGCAGCCACCCCTTGCCCTCTAGCTCTGCCCGCCCTGCCCCTGCAGGCCTCTGAGCGGGAGACCTTGGAGATGCAGGAGAAGCTGAATCAGCTCAACGAGGAGAAGGCGGCCATCCTGAACAACCTGGTGGAGGCCGAGTGAGTCTGGCCTTCCCCTAGGGCGTCTGTGGGTGCTAAACCCTCCGGGGTGTGGCTCCGCAGCTCACCCCCAGATCCTGAGGAGGAATGAAGGCTACTGTGGAGTTCTGGTCCACCGCCCCTGGTGGCAGACGAGCAAACCCAGTGTGGCTGGAGATGGAGAGGCCTTTGGGTTAGACATTTCCACGTGTGCGTTATTTTCATGGTGCAGAAGAGGAACAGTCACAATCGAAGCGGTCACATCATAACTATGTGTGCCAAGTCAAAAGGGAGAGCATCAGGTGATCCCAGCTCTGTCCTTGGCCAGAACGCCACTGTAGGGCCCGGTTCTTTCTTGTTTTGCTTTTAACAAAAACAGGATTGTCTGTGGGTCCCACAGGTGGCCCCGTAGCTCTGCGGCCATCTTCCCAGGCGGGGCGGGTGAGTCCACGGCTCTGGCCGGACGCTGCCGAGGAGGCGGGGTGGACATGGCGCTGATGCCGGCCCTGGAGGGGCGTGAGCCACAGGGGCTGACGAAGCCCTTGCAGTCGGCAGAGTCTGCAAGAAAGTCACGGAGCCAGTGCTTTCGGGACAGGTGTCTTTGGTGACGTTTTATAGCCCTGTGCTAGTGGCCAGTTCGGGCATCGCACTTCTTCAGTCAGCGTCTCTCAACTGCCTTTACTCTCCCAGCTCCTGAACTTTCATGTGGGGTCTTCAAAACGTTCGTGGAAAACACACACTAGGAAAAACTAGGCATGGGTTTCAAAATCTCCTGCACCAAAATAAGCTTAGTCTTATTTTCCGTGAACTTGGAAGTCCCGAGTAAGGTCACGTGCCCTGCCTGTGTCCTCTCTCAGCACCCTCCTCTGCCTCCAGCCTCTTTCTCCTCCTTTCTCCCCCTTTCTCTCTCTCCCTCATGCCAGAGGCTTATCCATTTCAAGGTTGGCGAGCCTTTTCTGCCAGGGGCCAGAAAGTAAGGACGGTTGGCTTTGTGAGCCGCCCGGCCTGCGGGAGCCCCAGCTCCGCCATGCTAGCTCACGGCTGTCGAGGCCTGGCGGGTGAGCCCCCCGGGGCACGGGAAGAAACCCGCCTCCAGCTCTCACAGTGCTCTCCTTCTGAAGGCACCAGATCATGCTTTGGGAGAAAAAAATCCAACTGGCAAAAGAGATGCGAGCCTCGGTGGACTCCGAGACCGGCCAGACAGAGATCCGTGCCATGAAGGCCGAGATCCACAGGATGCGGGTGAGCAGAAGGTGGCATGGGCTGGGCGGGCCCCGAGACTCCCAGGAGCCCCACCCCTGCACTCCAGCCAGCACAAGCTGAGTCCTTGTGCCCTGGCCAACCCTCACATCAGAGGCACCCGACTTGCTTCTCCCACAGCGGCAGTGCAGACCCGCCCGCACACGCGCAGCCAGATGCATGCTGCCCCACGAACGCTGTCTTGTCCGCACTGCACGCGGCCGACGCCCTCTGGTATTGCTGGTGCGGCCTCCGAATGTCACACCCAGCACATCATGAGGCTCACACAGGCCCAGCCATGTGTGCAGGCAGGAGGGGCACTGCCGCGTCACGCTGGAGGCTCCATGGGAAGGTTCTGGGTTCTTGCCCCAGGTCTACCCCAGCTACCTGACATGCTGCGGAGCTGGGGAAAGGATCGGGCATGGAGAGCCTGTCTCTCACTCACTTTCTCTCTCTCCTCTCCTCTCCTCTTCTCTCTCTGTCTCTGTCTCTCTCTCTCTCTCCCCTGCCCCCCTCAGAAAATAAACTTTTTAAGAAGGAAAAAACAGCAGCTCTCAGGGGCAGGGTCCAAGGAGCCCTTGACCCCAGCCCTGGCGACCAGGATTCCCGGCTCCGCCCACCTTGTGCCAGGTCTCGCTGTGTTCACGAGGCTGACCATTATCTCACAAGACTCCCGAGGCTCAGGGCCTAAGGTTTAAACCCTGGACATCTTGTTCTTTTCTTTCCTTTTCTTTTTCTTAGAGAGGTTTTTTGCTATAGGGTGTGTGTGCTTGCCGGAGAGACAGAGAGAGAAAGAAAGACAGAAAGCAAGAAATCGCCCCCGGGGTGATGGCCACACCGCAATCCCTTCTCCTCTCTTCTCCTCTCGGGACCTTGGGCAGGCACGCACAGCGCCCGGTGAGTTTTAAGCCACCAGGTCTGGGACTTCTCACGTGTGTCGAGGCCTGGCGGGTGAGCCCCCCGGGGCACGGGAAGAAACCCGCCTCCAGCTCTCACAGTGCTCTCCTTCTGAAGGCACCAGATCATGCTTTGGGAGAAAAAAATCCAACTGGCAAAAGAGATGCGAGCCTCGGTGGACTCCGAGACCGGCCAGACAGAGATCCGTGCCATGAAGGCCGAGATCCACAGGATGCGGGTGAGCAGAAGGTGGCATGGGCTGGGCGGGCCCCGAGACTCCCAGGAGCCCCACCCCTGCACTCCAGCCAGCACAAGCTGAGTCCTTGTGCCCTGGCCAACCCTCACATCAGAGGCACCCGACTTGCTTCTCCCACAGCGGCAGTGCAGACCCGCCCGCACACGCGCAGCCAGATGCATGCTGCCCCACGAACGCTGTCTTGTCCGCACTGCACGCGGCCGACGCCCTCTGGTATTGCTGGTGCGGCCTCCGAATGTCACACCCAGCACATCATGAGGCTCACACAGGCCCAGCCATGTGTGCAGGCAGGAGGGGCACTGCCGCGTCACGCTGGAGGCTCCATGGGAAGGTTCTGGGTTCTTGCCCCAGGTCTACCCCAGCTACCTGACATGCTGCGGAGCTGGGGAAAGGATCGGGCATGGAGAGCCTGTCTCTCACTCACTTTCTCTCTCTCCTCTCCTCTCCTCTTCTCTCTCTGTCTCTGTCTCTCTCTCTCTCTCCCCTGCCCCCCTCAGAAAATAAACTTTTTAAGAAGGAAAAAACAGCAGCTCTCAGGGGCAGGGTCCAAGGAGCCCTTGACCCCAGCCCTGGCGACCAGGATTCCCGGCTCCGCCCACCTTGTGCCAGGTCTCGCTGTGTTCACGAGGCTGACCATTATCTCACAAGACTCCCGAGGCTCAGGGCCTAAGGTTTAAACCCTGACATCTTGTTCTTTTCTTTCCTTTTCTTTTTCTTAGAGAGGTTTTTTGCTATAGGGTGTGTGTGCTTGCCGGAGAGACAGAGAGAGAAAGAAAGACAGAAAGCAAGAAATCGCCCCCGGGGTGATGGCCACACCGCAATCCCTTCTCCTCTCTTCTCCTCTCGGGACCTTGGGCAGGCACGCACAGCGCCCGGTGAGTTTTAAGCCACCAGGTCTGGGACTTGAACTGCGGTCACCTAGGTGGGAGTCCAGCGATGTCGCCATTATGCCATCTGCTGGCCCCACCTTTTTCTTCTTTGTTTAAGACAGGGTCTCGGCCTTGCCATCTTGCTCAGCCGCCCAGCAGGGCCCCCAGACCTGCCCTGCCACAGCTCTGTTTTGGTGACTACCCGAGAGTGTGTGCAGGGAGACCGAGAGAGGGAATGCCGCCCCTGCCATGGGGCCTGGTCATGCCACAGTCCCCGCCCCTTCATCCTCCTTCCCGGCCGGATCCTGCTGTGCATCCGCACACACGCCGGGGTGTTTTTTGTCTTTTCAAGCTGCTGGAGCTTGGATTCAAATCGCGGTCGGCCGTGTGGGCTCTGGCCCTCTACGCCACGCCTGCACAGTGCTGCGGGCCGGCCTGCGCCCAGCTCTGTTCTACACAGGGCCTCGCTGTGTTGCCAGCCTGGAGCTCAGGATCCTCCCGCCTCAGTGTGACGAGCTGCGGGGACCACAGGGGCTAGACCCAGGCCTCCTGTGTGCTGCCAGGGTGGAGCTCTGCAGCGCGCACCTGGCCACACGTTGTCAAGACGGGCCCCTCCAGCCATCAAGGTCATTTGGGCACAAAGCATCCGCTACTTCAACCTGCTCCATTAGGGACCAGCCGGTGGTGTGGTGGTTACGGCACTGGACTCCCAGGTAGCCGGCCGCAGTCCAACTCCTCGACACGGTAGCTCGAGAGCATGGGCATGTGTGCGTGGGCGGCCACAACCCCAGGAGGAGGTGTAGGAGGAGGGACGAGGCATGGCCAGCTGGGGACGGCGCCTTCTCACTTGCCTCCCCTCCCTCCGGCAAGTGCAGGCGCTCGCTAAAACATTTTTTTTTTTTTTTAAGAAAAAGAAAGAAATCAGTCACCACACTCTGTGGACCTATTTCCAGAGTCTGTGGTCTTGCCGGCCCGGGTGTCTGTCCTTCCACCAACTCCCCACTGTCTGGCCTCTGTAGCTCTGTACTTCGGAGTCCTCCAATTTTGTCTTTTTTCTTTTCCGTTCTTTCACTTGCCAGAGAGGGCAGGTACATGCCTGCGGGGAGACAGAGACAGAGAGACAGAGAGAGACAGAGAGACAGAGAGGGCAGGTGTATGCCTGAGGGGAGACAGAGAGAGACAGAGAGAGACAGAGGGCAGGTACATGCCTGAGGGGAGACAGAGAGACAGAGAGAGAGACAGAGAGGGCAGGTGTATGCCTGAGGGGAGACAGAGAGAGACAGAGAGAGACAGAGGGCAGGTACATGCCTGAGGGGAGACAGAGAGACAGAGAGAGAGACAGAGAGGGCAGGTGTATGCCTGAGGTGAGACAGAGAGACAGAGAGAGAGACCCCTCAGAGGGGCCCGATCTTGCCGCAATCCTTTGTCCTCCATTTCTCCGACTGCTGTGCCATGGGGCCGGGCCTGGGCCGTTGCCGCAGTCTGAGTGTCCGTGTGGTGAACGTCAGTCTTCTCCTATGGCTTCTGCTCTCCTGCGCTGCGTCAGGGGCGGGATGCGTGCATTTCTCATCTCTTTCCCGCTGCCCACACGCGCGCAGACCTGTACCTGGTTTCGCTTTGGCAAGGGCGTGGGCAGGTCCACCTCCATTCCTCTCCACGGACAGTTACGTCATGTCAACGGCGTCATGACACGCCTGTGCTTGCCCTCTGGCCGGATGGCCGCTTCGCTCACGGGGTCACTCCCACATCCATGCCCTCCTTGTCGCCCACTGTCCCCCGACCTGCAGTGGTCACTGACGAGGCGTCTGGTCATCAGCACTTCATGGTGCAGTTTAAACCCGGACCGGTAGGGTCTCCCTCGAGCCCTCACTCGGAATTCTCGCTTTCTTCTTTTAAATCGCCGTTCTGGGGCCTATCGGGCATTCAGTCATTTAAAGTGAGCAGTCCTGTGGGTTCTGACCCACGCACGCCTGGAGCAGCCCCACCGCGGTGAGGTGTCTGACAGTTCCACGGCTCCAGAGGTCCCCTCACACCCCGCGTCGCCCTCACACTGTAGCCCAGCCCCTTCCCCAAGTCCACACGCCGTCCAGCCCTGCCCTGGACGCCACCACCGCACAAGAGCAGAGCGCTGGCCCCCACCAGCAATGGGCTCTGTTGTGGACCTGTTTCCGGAGTCTGTGGTCTCGCCGGCCCGGGTGTCTGTCCTTCCACCAACTCCCCACTGTCTGGCCTCTGTAGCTCTGTACTTCGGAGTCCTCCAATTTTGTCTTTTTTCTTTTCCGTTCTTTCACTTGCCAGAGAGGGCAGGTACATGCCTGCGGGGAGACAGAGACAGAGAGACAGAGAGAGACAGAGAGACAGAGAGGGCAGGTGTATGCCTGAGGGGAGACAGAGAGAGACAGAGAGAGACAGAGGGCAGGTACATGCCTGAGGGGAGACAGAGAGACAGAGAGAGAGACAGAGAGGGCAGGTGTATGCCTGAGGTGAGACAGAGAGACAGAGAGAGAGACCCCTCAGAGGGGCCCGATCTTGCCGCAATCCTTTGTCCTCCATTTCTCCGACTGCTGTGCCATGGGGCCGGGCCTGGGCCGTTGCCGCAGTCTGAGTGTCCGTGTGGTGAACGTCAGTCTTCTCCTATGGCTTCTGCTCTCCTGCGCTGCGTCAGGGGCGGGATGCGTGCATTTCTCATCTCTTTCCCGCTGCCCACACGCGCGCAGACCTGTACCTGGTTTCGCTTTGGCAAGGGCGTGGGCAGGTCCACCTCCATTCCTCTCCACGGACAGTTACGTCATGTCAACGGCGTCATGACACGCCTGTGCTTGCCCTCTGGCCGGATGGCCGCTTCGCTCACGGGGTCACTCCCACATCCATGCCCTCCTTGTCGCCCACTGTCCCCCGACCTGCAGTGGTCACTGACGAGGCGTCTGGTCATCAGCACTTCATGGTGCAGTTTAAACCCGGACCGGTAGGGTCTCCCTCGAGCCCTCACTCGGAATTCTCGCTTTCTTCTTTTAAATTGCCGTTCTGGGGCCTATCGGGCATTCAGTCATTTAAAGTGAGCAGTCCTGTGGGTTCTGACCCACGCACGCCTGGAGCAGCCCCACCGCGGTGAGGTGTCTGACAGTTCCACGGCTCCAGAGGTCCCCTCACACCCCGCGTCGCCCTCACACTGTAGCCCAGCCCCTTCCCCAAGTCCACACGCCGTCCAGCCCTGCCCTGGACGCCACCACCGCACAAGAGCAGAGCGCTGGCCCCCACCAGCAATGGGCTCTGTAAGGGTGCAATGACGGAACCCCAGGTCCACCAGATCCCACGGACGTGCCGCCGCGACCCGACCCAGGGTGGCGTGTAGCCCCATCTCCTCTCGCTCTCCGGCAGTCCCCAGCCTCCCATGCGCCTGTGAACTTGAAGACCATTTCGGCCCCATCAGCCCGTTCCTCCCTGCTGGCCTGGGGGGTGGTCCCTGCAGGACGCGTGGGGCACGGGTGGGCCCTGGCCCTGTCCGCCGGCTGTGCTGGTGTCCCAGCCCACCCACCTCTGTCTGTGTGCCCAGATCAGGCACGGGCAGCTGCTGAAGCAGCAGGAGAAGATGATCCGCAGCATGGAGCTGGCCGTGGCCCGCAGGGAGACCATCACCACGCTGGCCGAGGGCCAGGGGAAGGGTGACAGGAAGGTGCTCACCCAGACCGACTTCCAGCACAGGCAGGCCGAGCTGCGGCGGAGAATCAGGGATGCTCACAAGGTGGGGAACAGGAGCGGGTAGCTGCCTCCCCGTGACCCAGGGACGCTCCAGAAAAGCGCCCCTGCTTAGGCTCCGTGCCCGCTGCTGGGCATGGGGGTTGCACCGGTGTGTGCTGACCCTCCCGCCCCTTGCATGTGGTCAGTCTCCACCTGGCCACCCTGGGCCGTCCTCTGAACAAACCTGCCCCACCCTGTCAGGCTGCCCAGTGTCCCTCCCACTGCAGGCCCAAATCCTGCCCTGGCCATGCCCACGGGACCTCGTGGCTGCTTTTCCCCTTCCAGCCAGCCGCAGCCAGGGTGGCTCTGTCACCTCTCTTCATCGCCCTGGAGCCCCTGGGCTGCCCCATGCTTCCAGACTATTCCTCCTCCTCGTGCTGCCGAAGCCTTCAGAAGCCCCTGCCCCCCACTGCCAGCAGCGGCCCAGCTGCTAAGCCATCCCTGGTCCCCATGCTGTGTAGACGGGCTGCTGCAGAGAGGCCCCCCCACCCTGCCTAGGGGCGTAGCCTGCAGCGCAGCCCCCAGGCCCTGCACCTGCTGGTCTTCACGGACCTGGGCTGTGTGTTCCTCAGGTCATAAGCACCTTCCTCTGAGAAGAGGTGGCACCGGCAGGCTCAGCCCCCCTGCCCTGCCCTGTCCTATCTGCCACGTAACCAGCATGGCCTGCACACCCCTAGGCCACTGAGGACTGCTGCAAAACCACCCTGGAACTGGAAGCAACTCAGAAAGTCTTGAGCAGCTCCCTCCTGGAGAAGCAGGAGGCTCTGACCGCGGTGCAGGCAGACCTCGACGCGGTGGAAGCCGAGCTCGGCCGGCTCCTGGCTCTTAAGCGACAGGTAAACAAGCCCCAGGGCCACCAGGGCCGAGGCCCACAACAGCGCAGCGCACCGCCCGCAGTGCCGCGTCCCCAGCTGCAGGCCTCCCCTGGCCTGGTAAGACCAGGCTGAAAGCAGCATCACCAGTTGCTCACACGTCTGTGGCTCTGTGACTCAGCCACTCAGCAAATTCCACGTGTGCCCACCCTAGGGGCTACTGCTCGGGGCCGCGGCTGCGGGGCGGGACAGAGCGAAGGGCCTTGGGGCGGGGCTGCAGTGCGGGACAGAGTGACAGGGCCCGGGGGCGGGGCTGTGGTGCGGGACAGAGTGACGGAGCCCCTGCCCTTCGGAGGCTGCATTCTGGGGACAGGAGGACAGACAATAGAGTGGATTGGAAGAGGCATGGTGACCATGTCCTGGTTAGATGGGGATACATGTCTGGAGGAAATGAAGCAGGACAGGGCGTCGAGTGGAATGGGGGCTGAGCTTTCCGAATAGGGTGTTCTGAAAAGGCCACAGGGGACTCGAAGAGGCCGAGGGGACTTGAGACAGTCCTGGGGTGAGCCAGAGGCCAGCAGGGCAGGACTGGGGCGTTGAGGACAGTGAGGGTCCTGCTGGGACCACGCATGGCCTCGGGTGGGGCCGACCATCACTTGGGGTTTTCTCAGAGCAGGGGAGCTCCAGGGCTGAGGAGGGCCGGTTTGAGTAGCTCCTGGCTTGGCATTGGATGTGGATGGACCGGGCGAGGGCGGGTGCAGGCACCGTCTGAGGCCACCCCAGTACTTCAGGTGGCAGGACCAGGGTGTCACTCTGAGCCTGGTGAAGAGCCACCAGACCCCGCCTGTTAGGCAGCGGCCCCATAGGAGCCCTGCTGCGTCCCCGTGGTGTGTGGGGGCACCCAGGGGCCTGCACTGCCAGTAGGGTGTGGGCCTGGTCGACCAAGACGGGGAGGTGTGGAAGGACGTGTCTGCAGGCGCCCGTACGCGGAGGTGCCCACAGCTTCTCCCGAGGCCGTGCGAAGGAAGAGGCTCCCACCCAGCCGGTGTCGGCCGTGCGATCCAGGACTCGACCCCTTCTCGGGCACGTCATGTCTGAGCCGCGCCGGCCGGCAGCGCCCTGCCCTGTGCGGCCTGACTGGCTCCCCTCTCCCGCCCAGAACCTCTCAGAGCTCGTGGCCTTGCAGACGCGCCTGAAGCACCTGCAGGCGGTGAAGGACGGGCGGTACGTGGCCGTGTTCCGCTCCCGGCAGTCCCTGGCCCAGGAGCGCCGGCGGCTGGAGGACCGGCTGACCCGCATCAGCACCGCCCTCAGCCAAGTGCAGGAGGAGTACCCTCAGTTCCAGGAGGCCCTGCGCAAGGTCAGCCAGGCGATCGCAGCCCATCGCAGGTCCGGGGGGCCCACCTAGCCTGCGGCCGCCTTCCCAGCCCACCCCAGGGAGAGATCCAGGCGAGTTTGTCCTCGGGGGCCACAGGGTTTTTTTGTGTCACCAAAAACCAAGGGACACCCTCAGACTGACACATTAAGGGAGAGAGCCCAGCGCCACGGGCATCTTTTAGCCACCTGCAGTTCAAGCCACGCAGAACCCCAGCATTTCCAACCACGTCGGCGCGTCACCAAGGCAGGGCCGACGATGCAGACACACGCTCCCACCTCCCGCCCTCACCAAGCAGCGCTTCGGGCCGCAGGGCGCCTGGACAGGCCCATGCACCGGCTAAACCGGCCGTCCAGACCTAGGTCCAGGCTCCGGTGGGAGAAACGGGGAACAGCGGCCTGAGGCCAGCCTGGCCTGGGGCTCCTTCCCCCCCAGGAGCCCCCTTCTCCCCGCCCCCAGGAGACCCGAGCACCTGCTTCTGCCCGGTCTTGAGAGAGTGGAGGCCCCCGCAGTTCGGGGGGGGGGAGCGCAGGCCGGACCGGGCG